ATATATATATATATATATATATTCGAGCTCGGCTCGTGAGCCTCATGAGCCAAGCTCTATTAGGCTCAAACTCAGCTCATTTATTAATCGAGTCTATAAATTGGGCTCGAACTCGGTTGAAACCGAGCCGAGCTGAGCTTTTCACGAGCCGAGCTCGGCTCGTGGCCACCCCTACATAAGGGTAGTTTTAAGAAATTTGGCCAATAGTAAATTATGTATATATTAATAAATGAAGTGTTTTAACTAAAATTATCTTTTAATATATATCGAAATTATCCTTTTAAACATGAAATATAATAAAAATTATAAAAGACTAAGCAACCTCTATATACTATTAAAAAAATAATCAATTCGAATCTCAATCAAATTGGAACTAAAACCAAGCCAATTATTAATGAAATAAAATCTCAGAACCAATATATTCGATTCTGTTCGATTGGACAATTACCCACCCATTTACATCCCTTTTAAAATGATCTTATTTATTAAGTTTTTTTTCGTGGTGGAATATTGTACTCAAAAATGGGTGAATTAAGGTTTTATTATTAGATGTAGAAGGATGATTAGGGATGCAAACGGATTGGACAGGATTAGAATCAAGGTATAAGATCCGATTGGATCTGATAGGACTTGATCTGAACTCGAATCCTATTGGATCTTCGGATCTGATTTGATCCAACTTGTTTTTTAAAAATTAATAAATATTAAAAGAAAATTAAAATATACTAATTTAAATAAAGAAAAAATAAAAAATACAAGTATTTTTTAATTATTTTTATCATATATACATATTTTTTATAAAAAATAAATAATATAACAAATTTATAAAAATACAATATAAATAATTTATTTATAAATAAATAAATAATATATATTTTATATATATATATATATTTATATTTATAAATATATAATACACCGGATCAAATATAAATATATAACACACCGGATCAAATCTTCTCAGATCAGATAGGAGTAATCTAAATCTGATCCAATTTCTAATCGGATATAGGATCCATCCAAAGATCCGACCAGGGATGATCTGAACTCGACCAAATAAAGATCGGACCTTGGATCGAATGATCACCATTTGCACCCGTAAGGATGATATTATGGTACTTTACGGATGTTATACTTGTATCGGACTAAAAATTTTTGCCTAAAAAATTGATGATGCTCAGTAATGTAATAACCTGTTTGCTTCCTTAAAATCTTATTTGGTATTAGAAATTGACCACACTGTAACTAAAAGACCCACAAAATGATAATAGGTATCAATTCTATTTTTCTAGGTAGATTTTTCAATAATCTAATAGATAAGAAAGAAGTTCTGACTTTTGGAATTTTGTATCTAAAGATCAAGACCGTTTAGTTCACGTGATCACGTCATGGTCTTCCGAGCTATTAAAAGCAGCTAAAACGCCTATTTTCAATACGAAAAGACCAACAATTTTCATTTAAAGCTTTTTGGTCTTTTTGTGCACTCGTCTTCACGTAATCACGTTTTTTTGGTGTTTTTTTGGTAGAAGCGTTTTTAGGTGTATGCCAATGGTCTTTTTGTGCACTTGTTTAGTTCCGACGCCAGAAGACGTACTGGAAACCTCGACCTTAGATTCTTTACTAAAAACATCATCAGCTTTCAACCGTTTGATTGGATCATGACCAATGGTTTGAAAATTAACGAGGCCCATTTTAGTGTCCGGGTCAGCGGTTCAACCGTTCCATTCCATAATTTGGAAACACTCAGCCAAAGTCCAAAACCTTTCCAAAAGTAAGGAAGACTTGTTAAAAAAATAAGGCGAAAGGTTTACGATCAATTTGTACATAATTCCTGTAGTTCACTGCTGGACAAAAGACTGATAGTCCTTCTCCACCTAATTTCCAGAGAAATTAAACTATTTCACGAAGAAACTTTTCAATTTTCTTTTCTAACATTGCAAAGTAGGCTACGATTCAAAATGTTGATTTGAAAATTAAGTAAATCTATCTCCTTACAATGTTGAATGATGAATGATGAATCCCCCTCAAAATTCGTCTTTTGAAGTACAGAAAGGAGGATGATAGATCATAGATCCACCGTGTGGGTGCTCTTCTGCCCAACTAGAATTCTGAAACAGAGAGAGACAAAGGAAAGAAAACGCACCTGAAATTCCAATACCGTACCCAAAGATCAAGCCACCTGAAGCAGCAACGATACAACTTATCACCACTGATGCAGTCAGCCGAGCATTAACACCGTAGACATTACTGTCAACGGTGAAACCTCCTCCGGCCATCTTCTCTATCTCGCTCTCTCTCACTGTCTCACCACCGTACGTCCAAACGCCGCCCCAGAACGACGATAAAATTAAGAGTCTGATGAAAGTAAGACTGGTTAACTCCTTTTGTATATATTTGTTCTAATTAAAGAATAGTTTAATTATTAAAAAAATAGAAAGTAAGCAATCACATCTTAAGCTGATAAAATTTAGGGTGAAACTTGGGTAGGCCAAATCCATGATTTTGCAAGTTAGGCATGAGTTTTGGGGCTTTTGGCTAGGCCTAGGCCAAAAAGCTCGAGCCTGACTTCAATTCAGGTTAGGCATGGGTTCAGGCTTCAAGTAGTCCGAATTTGGCTTGACTTAGTTCAAGCCTAACCCAACATATTATTATGATATACACATCTACATATTTGTATATTGTGTTAAATTTTACATATTTCTAATACACACGTGTGTGTGTGCACACGCGCACAAACACACACACAAGGCCCCAGGCGTATATGGATTTTCAAATTCATTCTTCCAAAGATATTGGGATATTATTAGCCCTAGCCTAACTCAAGTAAAAGAGTTTTTTTATTATGGGATTTTAAGGAAAGAGTTAAACAAAACATTTATAGCCCTTATTCCCAAATGTAAAAACCCAGAGGCTACAGCTAAATTCAGACCCATAAATATGTACAAGATAAGAGCTAAGATACCGGTAAATAGATTGAAGCCCACTCTACCAAAAATTATAAGGCTTTTGTCCCTAGTAGAATGATATTTGACAATGTACTCATCTCTCATGAAATGTTCCAAGCATAAAGAGAATTTCATGACCATCAAGCTAGATATGAGCAAAGATTATGATAGAATACAATGGAGTTTTGTTTAATCTGTTATGGAAAAGATGGGCTTTGGTTCTATTTTTATTGGTTGGGTTTGGCAATGCATTTCATATGTGTCCTATCAGGTCCTAGTTAATGGCAGTCCAAGTAAATGCTTCTTTCCCTCCAAAGGCTTAAGACAGGTTGACCCCCTACCACCCTACTTATTCTTATTATACTCGAAAGTTCTCTCCCTTGCTTTCCAAAATTTGCATTCCTCATGTTCTATTTCTAGAATTAAGATTAACTTCCATTGCTTGGCTATTACTCACTTGTTCTTTGTAGATGACTCATACATTTTCTTAAAAGCAAGCCTTGGAGAAGGAGTGATTCTAGAGGTGTTGAAGCAATATGAGCAGGCCTTAGACCAAAAGGCGAACATTCCAAATCTGAAGTCCTATTTAGCTCAAAGTTGTACCTAAATTCTAGAAAATAATGTCCAGAGTCATGGGAATTAAATCAGTGAACAAAATTTTGTGTGGTAGAATGAACTTCAATTATGGTAGCTAAAAATATGCTTTCTGTCATCTACTGGGAAGGAAGTCATGAGAAAATCAGTTCTCAATTTTGTTCTAATCTATGCTGTCATACTTCTGATTCCAAAAAGCATTTTTAAGTAGATGGCCGCAACCCAAAGGAAATTCTTAAGGGGAGTTTCAAATTCCCAAAGAAAAATCTGTTGGATTAGCTTGCAGAAGGTTTGCAAAAGTAAATTTAATGGGGGATTGGGATTAAAGGATCCCTAAGCCTTTAATCTAGTCCTTCTGGATAAGTTGGCTCAAAGATTCTATTCTAACAGACAAAGATTCTGAATGTAAGTGATAGAGAGAAAGTACCTTCGGTGAGAGAATTTTTGGACTATTAAACCTCCCTCAAATTGCTTTGGGGTTTCAAAAGCCTACTAGCAGGGAGAGACATTGTTAAGGAAGAAGTTTGCTAGAGAACTGCAAAAGGGGAGAACATTGATCTATGGGATGATCCCTGACTGCTAGGGTTTCTATCCTCCAAACCTTTGGGTCCTAGATTCAATTTGGATCTAGTAAAGTGGGTGGGTGACTTAATTAACTAGCAATCCCATTAAAGGAATATCACAAAAATCTTTGATCTATTTGACCTAGGAACTACTTCTCACATTTGTGCATTGAACCTTCCCGCTTCTATATGTGAAGATAAATTAATCTAGACCCCATATTCAAAAGATCGATTTTCTATAATGTCTGCATATCATGTGGCTCTGAATACAATATCTCCTCTTGAAGGAAAAACCATCTCACATTCCTTAACTGTTGTCCAATGGAAAAGAACTTAGAATTTAAAAATCCCCCCAAAATTAAAACATTTTATTTGGAAATGTTACTTAAATAGAATTATTAAACAAGTTTTATCCAAAAGAGGTATGAGGATCGATAATGCTAGCCCATTGTGTAAGGAATCTAATTAAAGTATTATGCATGTCATCTTCTTCTATGATCATGCTAGGGCTCCTTGGTTTGGGTGCAAACTGAACCTCATATTGATTGATAGAATGTTAACAAAATAGAATAACAAAAAAAACTAAATGATACATGTAGAGCCCATTCCCATGAACACCTCTTCTTCATCTTCTTGCTTTTGATTTCAAACCAAGTAGAATGTTCCCAAAGTTAGGATGATCAGTTATTAGTCCAGTCTCTTGTTTGTATACGTAAACTACACTTTTCTCCTTATGGATTCTCGAACATTAACTGATGATTTGTAGTATTTTGCAAAAGTTTCTTGTATTTTTCAAAAGAGCTTCTCACATACCCTAGTACTAGACTAGAGAGGCTAGAGTTAATTCTCCTTCTTTCACTATGCTCTCCCATTTGTCCCAATAATGGTTTAGTGAGTAAGAGTAGAACGGATGGGGGTTCTTTTCTTTTAGAATATAGCTAAACGGAGAGACCYTATCAACCTATTTAATAGGTAGTTCCCCCCATTAAAGAACTCCTATTATAATAGCTTAGAAAAATCAACCACCTCCCCTACTAGTTAAACCACTCTCCACTTATCCTCATCTACCTA